GAAGAAGGAGGAAAAAAATAGGGGTGGGGGTTGCAGTGGGATGGTGTGAACAGTGCTGGGGAATAGGGTCTTGGTCTGGGAATAAATCAGCAGGGAATGGATCCCATGGAGGGTGGGGAATAAAGAGGAGGTCACCTAAAAATCTCTCTTCACCCCTGTTTTTGGGAAAGATTTTTTGGGAGGTGCTTTTTGCCCCTTCTGTGGGAAGGGGATCAATCGCAGCTCCTCTTTTTTTTCCACTATAAAGTAAATTTTAAAGGCCAGGCTGCAGCAGGGATGGTTTTTGATGCCAAAAAGGTGCTTTTCCTGCAGTTTGCATCTCGTGTCTGACAGGGAAATGCTCCAGTGGGGCGTTTGGGAAGCAGATGGACCAATCCATGGTCCCCAAGGATCCTGGGGCTGGGGGGGCTGAGCCTCTCCTGGCTGATTTTTGAGGTTGGAGGAAGCAGGAGGGTCTCAGCCCGTATTGAGATGGATTTTGCAGGTGCATTTGGTTTGGGGAATGAATCTTTCAAAGAAGGACAAAACCCCTGGAGGGGTGGGGAAGGCTGTGTTAGCATCCCAAAAACCCCGGAGGGGTTTGCAGATGGGCTGGTTCCTGGGTGCTCTCCCACAGCTGGAGCTGCTGGGGAGGGATGGGAGCTCGGGGTCACTCTGGGCCCTCCCTGTGCAGCTCTGCAGCCCCAAAGCAGCTCCTGGGGAGAGCCCAAGGTGGCAGCAATTCTGGGGAGCCCCCCTTTGATTTGCTTCTCGGGCTTCCCCCCCAGCAAACGTTCGAGGCGCACCCCGAGGCCGAGGCCAGCGTGACCCACATGGTGAAGGCGGGCAGTGGGGTCTGGATGGCCTTTTCCTCGGGCTCCTCCATCCGCCTCTTCCACACCGAGACCCTGGAGCACCTGCAGGAGATCAACATCGCCACCAGGACCACCTTTGTGCTGCCAGGTGAGCCCCCAGAGCCCCCCTGGCATTGCCTTGGGGACTCCTGCTTGGCTCTGTCCTTCCCAACCCTGCTCTCCAGAGGGACTGGGGAGGGATCAGGGGATGGGTGAGGCTTTGGAGCTCTGGGCTCAGCCCATGGAATGAAGAGGTGGAGCTGGTGGTGTCTTTGCACCTGGGAGTGTATCCAGGAATCCCATCTTTGCGTCCCCATGTGTGCACCTTATCCATCCCTGCACGTGTCCTGCACATGCACCTTATCCCTGTGCCCATCTGTGTCCCCCCTCCCTGTCCCCCCTCCCCATTGCCCATCCCTGTGCCCATCCCTGTCCCCCATCCCTGTTTCCCCATCTTTTCCCTCCCATCCTTGCCCCATTCCTGCATCCATGCACACCCCATCATTACCCCTTTCCCCCCATCCTATTCCCATCCGTGTCTCCCTGCCCTCCCTGGACCGTTTTCCCCCCTGGAGCTCCACAATCGTGTCATTAGTCCCGACCTCGAGTCTTGTGGAAATCCCTCTTGCTCCGATTTTTTTTCCCGCTTTTTTTAGGGCATGTTCAAATATTCATCACTCCACCTTCTTCCTGGGCGAGCGAGTGTTGGGGATTAATGCATTTTTGAACTTGTGCTCCCTCATCCTTTTTAAGTTGGCAGGTCATTAATAAAATCCTCCCGGAGTTGCATCTCCGTGGATTTATTGCTTCTCCGAGTCGGGCGTCGTGCAGCGCTAAGTCCTGCTGATAAAATATTCACTTGCCATTAGAAGTCTCACTTTTCTCTCTCTTTTTTTTTTTTTTTTTTTTTTTTTTTTTTTTTTTTTTTTTTTTTTTTTTTTTTTTTCCTACTCTCCTTTTTATTTATTTAGATTTTTTTAGCCCTTTCCCTGCCGTGGAGACCTTCGTGCCAAGGTGCTGCTTTGGTTTTTGGGAAGTGCTTCCAGAGGCAAAAAATCCACCGGTGACAGGGTTTTTCTGGGAGTTTGATGTGAAATTA